TTCGAATTAAGTGGCTACACAGCCCTTAATTCGAACTACTTAATTCGAACTAGGCGTTAGTCCTCGTGGAATGAGGTTTACCTAGTTCGAATTAAGTGCTCCGCTGGTTCGAATTAAGTTCAAACTAGCGGTTTGTATGTGTAGCGCCTATTAAAGTTAATTCGAACTAACATCTGTTAGTTCGAATTAACTTTGTAGTGTAGACATACCCTAACTGTTTTGTTTCTACCTTCCCGGCTTGGCCCTGTCCCATCTACATATTAGGTGGAAGGATACTGGGCGAAGGGATACATTTTATGCAAATCAGTGATGAGTCTGGAGACCCTGCATCACAGCCACTGACATCACATAAGAAGGCTCAGTCAGCCAATCAGCATGTGGCTATAAGATGTGATCATATTCCATGGCAGACATACTTAGGGGTAAGATGCCAGTGACTCTGGGGCAGAGGCGGGGACCCAGGCCAGCCTGGTGTGAATGGGAGTAACCTGCTCTGAGCTGGGGGAAGAAGCCGGTTCTTTGGTGTATTAAACAACGTGGGCCAGAGCTATCTCTGCACCCTCAGCTTCCTGGGGAGGACAGGTGGGTGAGGGAACAAAGAGGCTGGGAGTGGGGACACTTAAATTTTATGTACCACTCTGGGAGTGCTCTGGCGTCTAGAGGTTAGAATGCAGAAGTCTGGGAGGCAGGGCTCCTGGTTCTACACCCAGCTCTCATAGGGGAGTGAAGACTAGTGGTTACAGTGTGTGTGTGTGTGTGTGTGTGTGTGTAGGGGTGGGACTCTCACCTTCAACACTAGCTTCCATCTTCTCACAGACCCACTGGGAGTCACCATCTTCTCTTCCTTGATGGACCTGCCCTGGTATGTGGCACTAGCTTTGGTGAAAAGTCCCTCCCTTGCTCGACACCTCACACAGCCTCCTGCTCTTGGGTACTGCAGAAATGGCTCCACTTTTGCTTTTACTTCAAGACCACACCCTCTCTCCCCAGCTAGCCACAGGCGAGGCCAGATGGAGGCTGGGAGGGGGATCCCAGAAGAGCAGAGGTCTGGGAGCTGGGGAGCTGTAATAAGAGCTGTAATAGCCCAGGCCAGAGGAGGCCAGGGTGGGAATCTCAGCTGGGGGCAGGGTGGATTTCTGGAAGGTCAGAGGGGTGAGGGCTGCCATTAGCCAGGGCAGAGAAAATGGAGGCTGAAATAAGGCTGGGTCCCTGGGAGGAGCTGCCCAAAAACAAAGACTACATGGAGCAGTTCATCATTGCCAGGAACTCACACAAGAACTGGCCTTTCCCTCTTGTAAGGCAGGGGCTGCAGCAGCTTGCCGGAGCCAGCATGGCCTCACAGAGCAGTGGGGACATCATCAAGCTGTCGAAGGAGGAGCTGGAGGCCCTGAGAGCCGCCTTTGAGGAGGGGAACCTCGCTGGAGTGGCCTCCAGGCTGCAGGAGATGCTGGTGTCACTGGAGAATGTCCCGCTGGATGTGGGGGTCACAGGCGAGACCGGCTCTGGGAAGTCGTCCTTCGTCAATGCCCTTCGGGGCCTGGATGATGAGGATGCAGGCGCCGCCCGCACTGGCGTGGTGGAGACCACCAGGGAGCCCAATCCCTACCAGCACCCCCGGTACCCCAACGTGACCATCTGGGACCTGCCTGGGATTGGCACACCAGATTTCCACCCCGACGCCTACCTGGAGCAAGTCGGCTTCTCGCGCTATGACATCTTCTTCATCATCACCTCGCAGCGCTTCACCGCCAACCACACCGCGCTGGCCCGCCACATCCAGGACATGGACAAGAGCTTCTACTTTGTCCGCTCCAAGGTGGATGTAGACCTGTATTCCTCCTTCAGGTGCCGATCATCCAGCTACAGTGAGGAGGGTGTGCTGCAGGAGATCCGGCAGAACTGCCTGGAGGGTCTGCGGGCCCAAGGCATCAGCTCGCCCCGTGTCTTCCTCCTCTCGGCCTTTGATCTCAGCAAGTACGACTTCCAGCTCCTGGAGGAGACACTGGAGAGGGAGCTGAGCCACCACAAGCGGCACGCCTTCCTGATGGCCCTGCCCAACATCTCCCTGCACATCCTGGAGAAGAAGAAGGCTGCCATGGTAAAGCAGATGTGGCTGGTCTCCACCATGGCTTGTGGTGTCCATGCCGCACCCATCCCAGGGCTCCTGATCTGCTGCGACATGGACGCCCTGTCCAGGACCTTGCAAGGTTATTGCAAGGGCTTTGGCCTGGATGATGACTCTCTGGAGAAGCTGGCGGCACAAGTGGGGCAGCCAGTGGAGCAGCTGAAGGCCGTGATCAAGTCACCACTGGCCACGGAGATCTCCAACATGCTGGTGGTGCAGCTGCTGAAGCAGGCAGGTGGCAAGGTGCCCAAGCTCTCCAAGGAGGTGCTAAGCTCTGTCCCTGTGCTGGGCACCATGGCCTCTGGAGCACTGTCCTTTGCCACCACCTACAAGATGCTGAGGAGTTTCATGGAGGAGGTGATTGTCAGTGTCCAGAGGGTGCTTATCAAAGCCTTCGAGGCGGATGCTGAGAATTGAGCCAGAGAGGAGGAGGAGGAGAGAAAGATCAAGACACCATCTTGATCCACAGGACATCCCCTGAGTTTCCTACCAAACGTCAGAATTTCATTCCCTAGCTGGATAGACAATACAGCAACAAATACCTAAAGTTTCTCTTGAGGTTGTTACTTTGCTATTTAACCCTCAAATACCAGATCTGGTTCTGCTCTCACTGGTATCGATGCAAACCAAGAGTAAATCTGTTGAGCATCTGGGGTAACTGGTATAAACCCACTGTAAATATGGTGTCATAAATTGGGGGTATTGCCACTATAAGGAAACATCTAATTATAAAATGGGCATAACTCTGTTGTACATATTCCACTGTAAGCCAGGAATAACCCTGGTGTGAACTGAAAGTAGCGCCATTGCATGAACATAGTTTAAAGCTGTGAGAAGCTTCATTAGATGTAAATGAGAGGCAGATTTTAAGTGAGTACAAGCAGTGAGGCATAAAAGTCAGAAATGGTTACAAGAAAAATAAAGGTAAAACACTAGTGCTTAATTTACCATACTCCATGGCTGTGTCTACATTGGCATCCCTTTCCGGAAACGGGATGCTAATGAGACACTTCGGAATTGCAAATCCGCGGGGGATTTAAATACTTGAAAGTAGGAATAAGGGATCTTCCAGAAAAGGGCTTATTTTCCAGAAAATCGTGTCTAGACTGGTGCTTTTCTCCGGCAAAAACCCCGCGCCGGAAAAAAGCGGCAGCCATGTAAATGCAAATGCTGCGGGGGGTATTTAAATCCCCCGCGGATTTGCAATTCCAAAGTGTCTCATTAGCATCCCTTTTCCGGAAAGGGATGCCAATGTAGACACAGCCCATTATGTTCAAGCAAAGACAGACAGACAGAGTAAAGAGGGAATCTAGGGGTTGGTGGGGGTATGCTTCTTCTCTTCATGGTCGTGCAGCATTTCCAGCTGGGAGCACGGTGACAGGCAGTCTGGTAGAGAAAGGAAATCTCATGCTGTTTCTTTGCTAAGCTGTAGTAGAGTTTTGTCCCTGCCCACTTCTCTGCCAAAGAAAGTCTACTTAGCATGTATGTCCATCAACTTTGCTGACAGCTGGCTGAAGTGTCAGCTCACCCTTGGTCTCTGGGTTACGTCTACACTGCAGGTGTTTTGCGGAAGAGGAAATGCAAATGGAGTGTTCATTTGCATATCTTGCACTCTCATTTGCATATCTTTTTCCGAACCTTTTTGCGGAAGAGGTTTTTTGATAAAAAGCCCTGTGTAGACTATTTGTTGGAAAAAAAAAAACCTTTTGCACAAGAGCCTGTAAACCTCATTTTTTGAGGAATTGTTTCACCATGCCCCAGGGAAATACAGTTCAGTCCTGTCCCTCTGTGTCTCATTCATAATTTTACATAGAACGCTGCTATGTGTGTTTGGCCATGAGATCACTGGTTAGTAGGTGATGAGATTTTAAATGATACCTTGTACAGACACTAGTACAACAGTGTGAAGCGTGTGATTACTGCTATTTTCTGTCACAATGCTGCACAGATGCACCTCACACATCCAGACATATGGGACTAAGGGATACTGGTGAGCGAGCAGTGGGGACTGGAGCGGAAAGGGTGTTGTACTGCCAAGAGGGGGCTGTGTGATCCCGTGAGGAGTGGGAATCAAGAGATGTAGATTCCAGTCCTACCGACTTGCTGGGTGACCTCAGGCGACTCCCGTCCTCTTTGAGCCACAGTTTTTCTCTGCAGATTGGCTGAGCCCTTTTGGAAAACACAGTCCTTCAGATCTGGTGGTAAAATGGGCTATGCAAGAGCCAACCATTCGAACTGGGAGATGAAAAATGGCAAATTAAAGGAATTCCTCTGATTGTTCTTAGTGGCTGGAGTCCTTTCTGAATCCCAGGCTGTAATGGTGTGGGGATAGTCTTTGCCACTTTGTCTGAATAGTGTGTGTGCCTCAGTTTCCCTTAGGTGGCGCATGGTTAATTAAGCAGTGGAAAAAGATTGTTTGCTCTCTGTAGAGACCCAGAGATAGAGGCATGACTGATGCCTCTATCTTGCTTGGTGCCTGGGCTTCCATGCCCATGGAGAGTCCCAAAAGGACAATGGCCAGTCCAATTGCCCAGACATTTGGCACCTAACAATTAACAACCGTGGATCAGCCAGCTTCTGCAGGAAGCCAGTCAGGTGTCACCAGCTGGAGAACAAAGGGAGGTAGGTCAGGTGACAACATTTGCATGGGAACAGAAACAAAAGATGGAAGTGGGGCCAACGTGGACATGAAGTGAGGGCTGCTGGCAGCAGGAGATGCCCCTGGCCTGAGACTAAGGAGGGGTCAAAGGTCTTTGTGCTGACCAAGATGGACCGTGCTGTAACTTTCTGTTCTCTGGGGTAACCATGGACTGGCCATGCTGTGTTCCTGGCATCTCATGAGCCCTGCTGCCTGCACCGTGCTGGCTGGGAGTCACGGCACACATGGAAGGTGGGGGCTTTGCTCCTTTTGGGAGTTCAAGTCTCTTTCCAGTGCCCAGTGCAGGGGGCCTCGCTGCAGGGAGCTCACAGGGGGAAGCTGGGGTGCTGAAGGCTCTGAGGTTTATCCTAAGGTGGTGGTGAAGCCAAGTGGCTTCCCTTAGTGAGAGTGTGACCGGAATGCAGGTCTGGGACACTGAAGGATCCCCCCGTCACATTATTGGATTTTAAGGGGATCAGACAGGTCACTGCTGCACCTGGGGGGGCGTTTGCCCCAAAAGCCTATACAAAGGGGGCCCATGTGAGGTGTCACATGAAAGCTTCTGGTCTAGTGATTCTGTAGATGCTATTCATGTACTTGTATGGTATCTGTATGTGGAGTTATAAACATGTACTCTGTAGGGATGCTGGCAAATTCTCTGTGGCTGAGCAAGGGGCAAGGAATGCTCAGCCAATGGCTATGCTAATTAGCAAGGAGACGCTGAAGCTCTAGGTGCCAATACACACCTCAGGAATGTGATTGATACGTGCAAACCAGCCAGGGCGGAAGGACTGCCAGCATGGGACACAGGGATACGTCATTGGACCATGTGACCTGCAGTGACCTGCTCTGTCCAGGAAGATGCGAGGAGAGGTATATAAGTGCCATGTGGCAACCCTCCATCGTGTCTTGAGTTTAGCTTCTGATCCCAGATGCAGCCTTGCAGGGAGCAACGAGCTGGGAAGAACCGTGGACCCATCCTGACACAGGATGTAGCAGTTTTCTTAATCACCTCTCTGAGATGCTTGCTCATCCAGCTTGGTCTAACACACCTGCCTATAAATGTTTTCCCTTTTCTTGGGATACAGGTTTCTGACAGCTTCTGCAACTTTAACTTAAAATAATTCCAGGCCTCTTTCACCTCAAGATCCATAATTTCTTTAGTCCAATCAACTTCCCTAACTAATTTCCTTAATTTATTAAAGTTAGCCCTTTTGAAATAAAAAACCCTAGTCTCAGATTTATTTTTGTTTATCCTTCCATTTAATTTGAACTGAATTAGCTCATGATCACTCGAGCCAAGGTTGTCCAGGACTCCTTGTTTTTGCTGAAATTTGTCACTTCATTTCAAGTTCTCGTCTATAACATATATGAACCTCTTGGCTACGTCTACATTGGCAAGATTTTGCGAAATACTTTTAATGCAAGAGTTTTTGTGTTCAAGTATTTGCGCAAGAGAGCTCTGGTGGCCATTTTAGCCATCGGACTTTCTTGTGCAAGAAATTAACATTGCCTGTCTACACTGGCCTCTTGTGCAAGAACAGTTGCGCAAGAGGGCTTATCCCTGAGTGGGAGCATCAGAGTATTTGCGCAAGAAGCACTGATTTTATACATTAGAACGACAGTGTTCTTGCACAAGTATTCATGGCTAATGTAGACAGGTGGCAATCTTACCAATGTAGACACAGCCATGATGTTTAGTGATGCATGCAGCTTTTGCCTCTGCAAATCTAGTTTTGGACTACAGGCAGTCCCTAGGTTACATGGATCCGACTTACATCGGATCCCTACTTACAAACGGGGTGAGGCAACCCCGCATTAGCTGCTTCCCCCCCAGCAGACTAGGGAGACGCAAAGCTAGCACCCTCCCAGCAGACCAGGGAGACGCGGAGCGGCTTTTCTCAGCAGACTCCTCAGCTTGAGAATAAAGGACTGAGGGAAGTGAGGTGTGGGAGAATAAAACGGAGCTCTGGAGAAATGTTTGGCTAGAGCTTCCCCTACAATATGTACCAGTTCCGACTTACATACAAATTCAACTTAAGAACAAACCTACAGTCCCTATCTTGTACGTAACCCGGGGACTGCCTGTACAATGCAACTCCACCGCCTTTAACCTTATTTTTGTCTTTCCTAAACAGCACATGCCCTTCAATACTTGTACTCCAGTCATGCCTAGTATTCCACCATGTTTCTGTTATTCCTATAATATCTGGTTTCACTTCCTGGACCTCTAGTTCCTCCTTTCTGTTACCTAGGCTCCTCGCATTGGTGTACAAACATCTTAATTTTTGCTGTTTGGCCTGATTCACATTCTTTACCCAATTTGGCATGGACGTTGTACCTCCAATATGACCTATTTAGACTAGTATCCACCCTACCCTTCCTCATGTTCATTCTCCTAACCCCAGCTATATCCTTTCTTACTTCGTTTTCCTCCCTCTCAGTGTTAAAATCTGGCGTAGAGATTACCTGGACGTCTCCCCCAAATTCCTAGTTTAAAGCTCTCTTAATCAGTTGAGCCAGCCTCCATCCTAGAAGTCTATTTCCCTCCCTACTTAGGTGAAGTCCATCCTGAGAGAACAGTCCTCTGTCCATAAATGCCTCCCAGTGACCATACATCCCAAAGCCCTCCTTATAGCACCACTGCCTAAGTCATCTATTGATCATCATAATCCTGTCACATCTTAGTTGCCCTTCTCTAGGAACAGGCAGAATCCCACTAAAGATCACCTGTGCCTCAATTTCCTAGAGCGTCCTCCTCAGCCTAACATAGTCTCCCTTAATTCGTTCCAGTAAGAATCTAGCCGTATCATTTGTTCCTACATGAAGGATGATCAATGGATTCCTTCTTGCTCCCTTAATAATCCTCTTCAACCTCAGTTCCACATCCCGTATCTTAGCACCTGGCAGACAGCACACCCTTCTATTCTCTGGATCAGCTCTGGTTACAGGCCTGTCTATTCTTCTCAATAAGGACTCCCCAATCACATAGACCTGCCTTTTCCTAGTGACAGTGCGATTCTCTGGTCTATCTCTTGCTTCCTCTGGCTGCAAGTCCTTGCCATTCCTATTTTCCCTTGTAATCCTCTTTAACCCATCCTGTATCCTCCTAATGCTCATTATTGGTGTTGTCTCCATTAACTCTTCCCCTTTATCTATGGGACTAGCCACTCTTCTCTTCTTCCTTACCCTTCCATCTTCATTATCTACCTGCTGTACCCCTTCTTCATTCTCCAGCTCCCCATACCTGTTCTTGAGCTCTATTTTTCCTTCACTGACCCATCTTTTCCTCTGCCTGATTCTCTGAGTCACATGCTTCCACTGTCCATTTTCTTCGCCCAGCAGTCCCCCCTCTGAGGCCCTTGATCCTGCTTCCATCTGCATATCTAAGCCTTCCCCTTCAACCACGTCATTCCTTTGCTCCATCATCTGCTCAAACCCCCTTCTAAATTCGACCAGAGTTTCCACCTGCATCTCCAGTCCTCGGATCTTTTCCTCCATCAGCTCTATCAGGCGGCACTTCATACAAACAAAACTCCTTTCAGGTACCCCCTCCAGAATCACGTACATACCGCAGCTACCACATCCAATCATCCTCCTTGTGTTCTCTACTGCCTGGGCCATGGTCACTACTGCCTCTGTGTTTTATCTACTTTCTCACCAAAATCCTATTAATCCAGTAAACACAAAAACAGACCAAAACACCCCCTCCACAGCAAAAACAAATGCCAAACAAGTCCCAATATCCAAACTCCCCTTACAAACTCCCACTCAAACTCCCCTGTTTACAGCTCTGTTTGCCAGCTCCTGTGCCTCTGCAGCTATCTATGCTGCTGCCTGACTAGAAGGCTACCTTTATAGGACTCCTAATCAATTAAGCCCCGCCCCCTAATCAGGGCTCAGTTTCTCTCCCAGCACACTACCCCTACAAGCAGCGTCTACACTGCCCCTTCTTGCACAAGAAAAACCCTCTTGCTCAATGCCGTTATTCCTGAAAATAATCAGCGTAACGGCATTGCGCAAGAGAGTTTTTGTTGCGCAAGAAGGGGCAGTGTAGATGGAGCAAGAGCCTCTTCCGCAAAATGGCGGCTCATTAGATATGCAAATGAGGCTTGGCAATATTCCACGCTTAGCCTCATTTGCATATCTCTGGCACAAGATGGCGCCAGTGTAGACATAGCCTTAGATTTTAGATTCTAAAGGACTGGCTCAGTCTGATGTTGTGGGTTAGGTCCAGAGTCTAAATTAATTGCAATCTGTGGCTGGCTTCTTGGGACTGGAAGAACCTGTTCTGGGAAGGTGAGATTGGGTTCTATAACCCCTCACCTGTTTGTTAGGCCCGGGGCTGATTGGGGCACAGGAAGAGCTGGGGTGTCAGAGGGGATTTGCTCGTGAGGCTTCTGGCTGACCAGATTGGAAGCTGAAGCGCTTGGGGTGACTGGTTTGTGGCCTGTTTGGGAAGGTCTCCAGTCTGGGGCTGTAAGGAGCCCTGAGTTTGAGCAATTTGCCCTGAGCGGATGCCCTCAGCGGTGTCCAGACCCGGCCCAGTCTGTCAACCCCCATCCCCCATGGACTGTTCCAAAGCTGGGACAAAGGGCAGAGATAAAGTTTCCAAGTTCCTGCTTTAACCTGCCTCTCTATTACAGCAGAGTAGGATTAGCGGGGCTCCAACTTCCTTGTTGTCTTCATCAGGATCATTCAACTCTATCACCTGAGTCAATACTCAGCTGTAGCTTGCAAACAATCCGTGATAATTAACACGGAGTTTCCTGGCTGGGTTTGGCAGAGGTGCATCAATAAATACAGGTCCCTGGCTGATGAACTAGACTGGACAGTTTTTAAAGCTTTTGCTGGGAACCTTCTCTTTGGCCCCTGGGTTGGTTGTCTGGAGAGTTCTGGTGTTTGTAAGTTGTGTTTGCATTGATTGGGTGGCTCCCCTCCCTTTAAAAAGGTTCGATTTGCATTTGGTGCATCAGAGGAACAATCTCTCTCTCTAGTCAGAAGCTTCTGCTAGTGAACTCTGCTGTTAGACACCGCGGCAACACGGGAACTAGGGACCCAGGTGAGTCCTGACCCTCCCCCTTATTTGGGATGTTACTCTGTGATGTCATGTAGCAGCAGTGGTGATAGGTCAACACAACAAACAGTAGCATTAACAAGCCCAAGAAGTTGTGGGTTTCTCTGCTTCTCTAAGATGAGGATCATGCTGCTAAGCTGCTTTGTAAAGAACTTTGAGATCTACTGATGGACAGTGCTAGGCATTATTCTTGCACTGCTTCAGCCCATTTGGCTACCCAGCACCTCGGCACACATGCGCCTCAATGGACTTTTCCTCAGAGGACCACGATTTAAATAGGGGTGGTTCTCTCCCCTGTTGGACAGCTGGGGAGCTGAGCCCAGAGAGAGCACATCTGCTCAGTGAGTCCCTGACAGAGGGGGTGAATGCTGCTCTCTTGAATCAGAGGCTCAACCACAAGAGCCCCTCGACTTGTCTTTAGCCCTGGCTAGCTGTGCTGCAGGGCCCATTGGCTGGGTTCCCAAAGCTGTGCCTGTGCAGCGTGCAGACAGGTACCGCGGCATGAGTGAAATGTGGCCAGGAGACGCCTAGGAAAAGGTCTGAGATGGGGCTTGCTTACCGATCCCCTCCCCTCTCTGGATGTGATTCCAGCACCAATAAGTGCCAGGGGAGACATTGAATTGACTTCAAAGAGCTTCAGATCAGGCCCTTGCTGCCTCAGTTTCCACACCTGCAAAATGGGTATAATGAGACAGGTGCCCCCTACAGGGGTGATGTGAGGCTCAGTTAGGAGAGGATGAGCCGGGGGGGAGGGCTCACACTGTGCATGTGATGCTACATGGTTTCCTCCCAGCAATTCTTGCAGGCACCATGGTCCCGTCCCAACCTGCGCCTCTGAGCTTCCGGCCCCACAAGCCCATCGCTGAGCCCTGAGTGGGCTCTGAAGATGGAAACTCCTCTAAGAACGTCACTGCAAGGCCACCCCCTCCCCACTCAGGCAAACCCCACTGAACTCAAGGGCTGCAGGGTGCTCATGCCATGGGCAGGTTAGGCAGAGAGCCAGCACAGCCCTGGGAGCAGGAGGGCTGGGGAGGAGCCCTGACACCCCCAAACCTTGCTATTAACCAGCTGATCCCCTGTTTTCCCTGCTGCAAAGGCAACAATGAAGCAACTCGCTCTCCTGCTGCTCCTCTTCCCCCTGACCAGGGCGGCCCCTTGCGGTAAGTGGCTGTTTCCTTTCCCTCTTCTGGGAAATAATTCTCCCCAACACTGACCCTGCCTCTTGGGTCAGGGCCGTGATACACACAGGGGTAGGGCTGGGCCAGGGAAGACTTTTCTGATACACAAGGGTCAGCTGTGACCCCAACAGGCAGGCAGCCTTCTCCCAGAAACTTCCCATCTTTCTTACTCCTTGTTCCAGGGTTTTGGGGGTGCCCTCAGTGTTTGATTTAGTGGTCCTTACCAGACCTGCTAATTGGAATGCCAGAGCATCAACGTCTGGAGCGTCTATCCTTCTGGAAGTGTACATGTGCCTGGTGTTACGGTTGTGCCTTGGTGACCTGGTCCTGGGTTAAGCCCCTCTGGCACCAGGCGCTGTACAAATCCAGAACAGACGGACAGTTTCAGCCCCAAAGAGCTGACTGTCTAAGTATGAAAAGTTATCTGAAGCCCAGAAGTGACAATAGTGATGAGTGATTTGGGGGCTTGTCGTGAAACACCTCAAAGAGGCTTCGGGTGTTTTGAGTTGGGCTCCCAAACTCACTCTGAAAATCTGGACCCCAAAAGACACCTGCGCACGTAACCTGATTTTCAAAAGCCCTGAGTCTCCGGCCCACTCCCTCTCAAGCCAGGCCTGCCAGCTGGCCCCTGTCTCTGGTTCTTAAGCCCATAAAACTCTTCTGCTGCTGAGGTCAGGGTGTGGAACAGGCTTTAAATGGGGATTTTCTAAATGCCTCCGCTCCATTTTAAAGTCGGTCTGGGGTCACCCCCAGAGCACTGATACCTGGTCATGTCTGCTCTGCCCCATCACAGCGCTGGGCCCCACCAGGGACTGGGACCCCACCGGGCACCATGATGGTAACATGGCTACAGCTGTCGTGATTCGGCACGAGGGGTGGCATGTCAGCCGGGGTGGGAGGCCTCTTGCTGTGATGTGAGACGCGCCAGCCGCCCCCTGGAAGTTCAGTCTTCGGGAAGCTGGCAGAGCCTCTCCCTATCTGCTCCCCTGCACACAGGCAGAAGCTAAAGATCCCAGCAGCTCAGCGCGGCTTCACATTTTGCTGCAGGGAGAGGATGGGTCCTTTGCTCCTCTCCCACCCCTCCGGAACACCCAATCTCTGTAGGAAGGAGGGAGATGGGGATCCTGCTGCAGCCCTAAGTCTGGGAGGGTTAATCAATGCCCAGAAGCTGTAGGAGGAGTAGAGGTGTGACTGATGGGGCAGAGGGGGATCTGGGCAGAAGTGAGGCTGAGGGCTGAATAGGAGCAGGACAGATGTGCAGCTGGGGGCAGGGTTGGATATGGAGTAGGCACAGCACTGGACTAAGCTAGTTTGGGGGTTGGGGGACAGAGAATCATCGCAAGAGGCAGAGGTGGGGGCAGATGGGATGTGGGACCTGGGAGGACAGGGTTGATTTGGGGGTTGGGGAATAGATGGAATTGCTGGGCAGGGGGAGGCAGATGGGGGCAAGGTGAAGACTCCTGTAGCAAGAAATAAAATCCCCTTCCCTGATACATATGAGAGAATAGGAAACACTAATTGTCACACAACCCTGGGGAAGGCGAGGGCGGACTCAGCTAACAAAAGAGAAACTGAAAAACACAAGATCATCTTTCAAGAAAATTCCAAACTCAGGATTTTGGGGCAAAACATCCCGATTTTGGGAGACCATACTCATTATTTTGCTCTCGTGGGCTGGCGATGCTGCGGGAGGTAGGGCACTGTTGTCCTGGCTGTACCAGAGAAAACCCCTAACTAACCCCTCAGTAACCCCTGTGCAGCTGAGAGTGTGGGTACCACTGATCTGAAATTTGCCATCCGTGACCTGCTGGACAACTGGAAAGAAGCGTCCTGCTCCCAGGGTGACCAGAACTCCCAGGGCCTGCCCCGGAGCTGCCAGGAAATTAAATCCACTCGAGACGGAGCTGGAGGTGAGTGTGGGGGCGGCATCTTTGGACCTGCCAAAAGCTGCTTTGCTTCTGTTGGGGGAATTGCTTCAGACCAAAAATTCCACAGCTGGGTCCAGTCGATTCAGATGCGCTCAGCTGTCTCTAAGCTGGGAGCAGAGGCACCTGCCTGCCTGTAGGGTTGCCAGATGGTTTCAACAAAAATACCGGACACACTTGACATTACATCACAATCTACATTACATCTTATTAGGAAAATGCTGGACATTTCTATTTTCTCATTTATATTTTCTCAAATTGTTTCCCGAACAGAAAACTCAAATACTGGACTGTCTGGTTCAAAGCAAGACACCTTGCAACCCTGCCTGCCTATGGGCACGGTGGGGGATTGCATCCCCAGGGCTGCTGAGACATAACTGCTGGGGATACTCTCCCGCAGGTGGGAGCTGTGCTGCAGCTGAACTGCTGGGGATACTCTGAGCCCCGCCAGCCCCCACAGGTGGGAGCTGTGCTGCAACTGACAACTGGCTCCAGCCCATCTGTCTCGCCAGCAAACTCCTCTGGGCTCTCCCAGCCCAAACCTCCCCAGCCAGGCACTCAGTGAGTTCCAGCCCCTGAGCTCCGCAGAGACGTCTCCCTGCAGCACACCGCCCCTGGCACTGCACAGTCACCGACACTGTTATGTTTGCAACTTCATTGGGGAGCCAGGAACAGCAGCGGGTTCCCTGGCCTGGAGCTAACAATCTCCTTAGGCCAGGTGCCGTGCGGGGCCTGTTAGAGAAGTAGTCAAACAAGGCTGCTGTAGCGAGGTCAGGGAGGTGGACAGTGAGTTCCAGTCAAAGGGCTGCAGGCAGAAAGGCTCCCAACAACCTAGAGTGAGGCCTCACTGTCTAACAGCAGAGACGTAACTTTACAGGGTTTGTTCCAGGCATTTCCTTTCCTGGGAATGGCTGCCGAGTTCTTAGCCAGGATGCCTGCAGAACCCCAGGCTCTGCCTTTCCTTGGCTCCTCAGGTGAAGGATAACTCAGGGGTAGGGTTGCCAGATGGTTGAACCAAAAATACTGAACACCCCCCCTCCAAAAAAACACACCTGGGGAAAAATTCTGGGGGGGGGGAGAGGAGAGAGAGACAAAAAGGAGGGGAGGAGAGTGAAGTTGTTGAGCAAAAAAAAAAAAGGACTCTGAGAATTAAGAAAAAAAAAAAAAAAATTGAAATAGCATGGCCCCTTTCAGAGTGAGTGCGGAGTTGGAATAGGGATAGGAACAGGAGAGCGATAGAGCATTAAGACCCAAGGAAGGCATTGCTTCCCCTTGGTCTTCAGGCTTTTTGCTGGCCAGGTAAGCATGGGGTCTGAGGGTGGGGGGCTGCGGGTGTCAGGGTCCAGGAGAGGCTGGGGGCTGGGCCCGGCCCCGGCCCTAGCCCCGCTGAGTGTGTTGTAGAGTTGCCAGGTGTCTGGTATTTTTGCCTCCTGGCCAGGAAAAAAATTCAGAAAATACTGGACATTTTAGGTGTCTGGTATTTTCTGAATTTTTTTTTACCAGACAGGAGGTGAAAATACTGGACTGTCCGGGTCACTACCGGATAGGGTTGCCAGGTGTCCGGTAGTTGCACCTCTGTCCGGTAGAAGAATTCAGAAAATACCGGATATGTGCAGTGTCCAGTATTTTCTGAATTTCCAGCTGGGTGCCGGACGGAAGCCTGGTGGGGGCAGGGGAGCGACTGGGAGGTGGGGCCGCGATTGGTGCTGGGAGCCCTGTGGTTGCGTGCAAAAGCTGGGCGGGGCGGAGGCAGTGCCCAGGGCTCCCAGCCACTCCCCCTGCCTGGCTTATGCACACAACCAGCGGC